AAGGAACCTGTAACAGTGATCAAGTTCCGTCAGAGGGTCTGTGGATTTTTTGGCTTTGCTGGTATATTCCTGCAGTAGTTCTTGGAGCAAAAGTTCACAGCGTGAGTCTCCACACACTGCTCTGTCCACCCAAGTGGGAGCTGCAAGCTAGTCCTGCCTCCTGTCTGCCTTCTTAACCCCAGTGGATCCTCACTGAGTTTCTTTAAGAGCATTATTCTGAATTCCTTTTTAGACATTTTATAGATTTCCTTTTCTTTTGGGTCTGTTACTGGAGAATTATTGTGTTCCTTTAGAGGTGTCATGCATTCTTTCTTTTTCGTGTTTCCTGTGTTCCTACATTGATATCTGTGCATCTGGTAGAATTGTTACCTCTTCCAGTTTTATGGAGTGGCTTTTGTAGGGAAGGACTCTTCTGTAAGTATATCCTATAGCATCAGTAGGGCACTTTGGCTTTCATCTGGGTGAGTCCAGGAGTGTAGTCTCCAAATAGGTTTTTTTGTTTGTTTGTTTGTTGTTTTTGTTTTTGTTTTGGCTGTAATCAACGTCAATGGTATCTGTGAGTGCCTCGGTGGCCTAGACTACAGTTGTTAGTGGAGGCAGTTATGTGGCTTTTCTGGGGGTTGGAGCTGCCTGACAGGCTGGTTCTGAAACCCCGGAAGTGCACATCATGTACAGTGGCTCCACTGGTCATGGAGACAGCGTTGCTGGTGGTGATATGTCCCAGGTGTAGGCCAGTCCCTGGTTCCACAGTGTGCAGAAGCTCTGACAGCCAAGGGGTGAGGTGTGTTTTCTGATGCAAGAAGTCTCATGTTTTTAGTGTACTAAAATAAAATAAAAATATTTGGAGTATTCTTTTTTATCTCATCTACTGAACTCAGGCAAGTAAAGAAAAAAATCTCAAATTAATAGCTTAAAATGCTTTTAAATAACTAGAATTCCAGCTGCTAATGCAGTAAAAGAGAACTAACGCAACAACCGTGTAGTAGAGTATCAGTGTACACATAGATAAACAACACAATGAAAAAAATGCTTGTTTTTTATTGTTTCAGGGGCTCTTTATAACAAGAAAGAATTGTATAATAATTCAAACTTCAATTTAGTTGAGAAAATATTGAAGACCCTTTCTGCAAAGGCACTGGGCTCTAGACCTTGTATGGGTATATTCATTCCCTAGGGCTGCTGTAGCATGTTACTGCATAAATTTATTCTCTTACAGTTCTGGAGGCTAGAAGTCTAAAATCAAGGTGTTGGCAGAGCCATGGGGAGAATCTATTGCATGCCTTTCTCTTAGCCTCTAGTAATGACGGCAATTTTTGGCATTCCTTAACTTGAAGATACCTCCCTCCAATCTGTATCTGCATCACTCCAGTCCTTGTATCTGCATCTGTTACATACTATTTTCCCTCTGTATCCATCTCTTCTCTTCTTATAAGGACACCAGTAATACTGGATTAAAGATCTACCCTATTTCAGTATGACCTCATCTTAGCTAACTATACCTGCAATGATCCTTTTTCCAAATGAGGTCACATTCTGAGGTTCTAGGAAGGACATAGATTTTTGTGGGGACCTTATTTAACACAACACATACTGAATACATGGGGCTTCTAAAATGATTAAAAAGTGGCTATTGCCTTCAGAGAGGTATAGTTCCTGATGTAGTTGGGGAAATAGGTACAGGAAATTAATGCAAGGCAATGTGTTCAAGTGATAACGAATATAGAATACTTATGGACACATGGAGGAGTTGGTACTTGGTTGGAGTTGGTGACAAACCTGAAGACTCACTAGTATGCAAAACAGGAATGCTGAGCATTCTGGGCTGAAGGACCAGTCTGAGCAGGCACAGTCGTACAATTGTGCCTCCACAATGTGGGATGCTTGCAACACTTTGAGTGTATGGCTAGAGGATAGCATGGCCTTTGGCTAGTAATTGCATGGACTGTGGTGGCCACAGAGGAAGGATGGAGAAAGGACGAAGTAAGAGGGAGATAAGAAAGATGATGGGACCCCCAATGGCAGTTTATCTCTATAAATGACTGCCACAGAAGTCTGCTCTTCAGAGGTAGTAGGAGTGGGAGTGGTCTAGGAGAGGCTGGATGACCATTTCTTAAAGGTGGTCTAGAGGACATTGCTGAACTCAGAGGAATTGGCCTAGGTGAATTCTATGCTCCCTCTTAGCTCTCCAATTCTGCAATTATTAGGCAGAAATATATTTTCAGTTATCATGTCTTGTATCTCTCACTATTATTATGCTTTTGATTCTTCCTCATTTTCTCCCTATTGAGCACCTTCCATATTCTAGGTGTTGGAGATACAATAGTGAACAAGAAGAAAAAGACACTGTCGGTTTAATCTCTTCTCTATAGCATTAGCACAAAGAGTACTTAGTGGGTTCTACATAAATGTTGCTTTGAACTGAATACAAGTAAGGAAAAATGACAAGGCCGTTTTGCCCTGGGCAGTAAGTTCTGCTTCAGAGTAGAACTGTTTGAAAGATGATTTCAGGGACCTCCTTATGAGGAGGTGGAGAGTAGGTGGCTGCTTATGTGGTGTTTGATTTCTGAGTCATCAGAAACACTCCTTTGCCTCCCAAAATATCTCCTCCATGCAGGCTGTGGGTACTTTTAATTCCACTGTTGGAAGTTGGTTTCCCAAGGTTTTCTCCTCTGTTAGAATGTAAATGCCTATAAAGAGAGGATATCCATTTACCCTTATTAGTCTTTTGTGCTTTAGTATAAGGGATTTTCTCAGCCCTTTTTACATAGTGGGTTTTTGAGAAAAACACACATAGGGGAAAAAGAGACCCAGAGGAGGAATATTGGGCATGCCAAAAGTAAGGTTTGTTAAAAACGGTTTGGATGAGACTGACCCTGGAGATGTAGTTCCTTGGCCTACAAAAATCTATTCTTATTCTTGCATCTAGCCATTTGTTGGTGTATGTTGGACAAGAATGGTTGAACATTTTATGGCTACAAACTTGTCAGTTTTTTTTTAAAGGGCAATAAATCTCACCTCTTCCATCCTCACCTCAACAAAAATAATTTGTGTGGCAACCTGATATATGGTCTGTATTGACAAGGCTATGCTACGTATGGTTTACGTGTTCACATGACAGAGGGGTTCTGTATTTGTCAGGGAAGGCAAATACTAGCTGCTGTAACAAATGTTCCCCAAAGTTCCAGTGGCTTATTTCAGAGGTTTCTTTCTCATTTACATCACAATACAATTCAAATTGATTTTGGGGGAAGGGATGTTCCACATAGTCCTTCCGGGACCCAGGCTCTTTTCATGCTATGGGTCCACTTTCAATGTGTGGCCTCACAGTCATGCTAGACTCACCTGGAAGATGTGCTAGGGGAGGAGAAGCATGTAGAGAAAGCACACTTATTAACTGCCATGGCCTGGAAGTGACATATTTCACCTCACATTCCATTGGCAAGAACTAGTGCCCAGGAACTACCCAGATGGAAGAAGCTGCAAAATATAGTTTAACTGTGTATCCAGGAAGAGGAAAAGCCTCTTGGTGGATCTCTGGCATAGGTTCATCAAAAAGCATTTGTACATTTTCCTTTTGTCTGTGACATAACTTGACCCTTGGAGTGTTGTTATTAGAGGGACAGTGGACAAGAGAGAATAGCAGTAACATTGAAACTGTTAGTGTTTAAAATAATGAAAAGTAATTCAATCTACTTAGTGAAGGACATCATCCTTTCTTGGATTTTTGCTATTTAAGGGAGGACAAAGTCTTGACTCAAATGTCTGTTTTGTTTGCTTGTTTATTTGCTTTGTAATGGAGGTAGAAAAAAGCTAACAGAAACTTCACTTGCATACATCTTGGAATCACGTTAGAACACCTTAGGTTTGGGGTTTTAAATGATATGGCTTCTGCAATATGTTTCAGCTATCTTTGGTAATAAGAGTATGTTAGTGTATGGAGAAGACTTAGAGATCCTCAGTCCACCTCCCATTGTCTAGAGAAGAGAACCGAGAGGTAGCTGAATTATCCAAATTCACAGCAAGTTAGTGGTTTATATTGGTCTCAGACCCCATTTTCCAGGTTTGTACTCAAGTGTTTTCTTCACTACCACAATGCTGTTCCCTAGAAAACTACTATTTGGAGAATAGACCTGGCTTGGTGTGATCAGTGGATGCCAGCCAGAAGGGAAGAGGCTTGACCAGGTGAAATCGGAAGGTTCCTTCTAGCTTTTAGATTCCTTGACTGATTGTATTTAAGTAGGTGGTGTCTGATTGTATAATCCCTGGCCTGACAGAAGTGATATGGCCTTCTAAGAATTTATAATGTTTCTGAGGAAACAGAATCTCAGTTCTTTATTCTTCTCAGCTATTTCTTTATTTTTAGCTTTTCAAAAACTATATTTGTTTTTAAATTTATAAACTTATTTTTTAAAATTATAAATAATATTATAGAAATTAAGTAAATATAACAAAAATATATACAAAATATAAAATTACCTGTAATTTCATAACTTGCTAATGCAGCAATAACCTCTTAATATTTTGGTGTACTTCCCAACCATTTTCAGTACATATATATTTGCATATTTATGCACAATATAATTTGGATGAAATGTTATGCAATATGAAATAAATGTTATGCAACCCTTAAACTTTTTTCATATTATGCAATATCTCATTTCTGTGAGATGAAATATTACACAACCCTTAAAATTTTTTAAAGTAAGTAATGATATGGAAAGATGCCCACATATATTTGTTTATTATGTACAATATAATTCTAATTCTATTTGTTTTGTCTGCTTGCTTACTTGCTTTTTAATGGAAGTAGAAAATGCTAACGGGAATTTTCATTTCATACATCTTGGAATAAAATTCTAATTTTACTTTTTTTAAGGGTTGCATAATATTGCATCTCATGGAAATATACTATGCTTAAAATAATGGCCCAAGTGGGGCGGAGGGGACGAGAGTAGTGTCTTTGGTTCTTTGGCCCTGACGCTGTGTTCCTCTTCTCCCAGGGCATCAGCAGCCTGTTCAGCTCTCTAAAAGTTGTCCGGCTGCTCCGTCTTGGGCGAGTGGCCCGTAAGCTGGACCACTACATTGAATATGGAGCTGCTGTGCTGGTCCTGCTGGTGTGTGTGTTTGGGCTGGCTGCACACTGGATGGCCTGCATCTGGTACAGCATTGGGGACTATGAGATCTTTGACGAGGACACCAAGACAATCCGCAACAACAGCTGGCTGTACCAACTAGCGATGGACATTGGCACCCCTTACCAGTTTAATGGGTCTGGCTCAGGGAAGTGGGAAGGTGGTCCCAGCAAGAATTCTGTCTACATCTCCTCGTTGTATTTCACAATGACCAGCCTCACCAGTGTGGGCTTTGGGAACATCGCCCCATCCACAGACATTGAGAAGATCTTTGCAGTGGCCATCATGATGATTGGCTGTAAGTATGACAGTGCTGGGTGGGGTGGTAAGGTCATGCTGTTTGGCCATCTCTTCTGTTAGCTGGAAATAGGGCAATGACTATAGTGCCAGCAGGATCAGGGGACTAATAACTTAAAACAAGGGAGAGATTTTTTTAAAGACTAGGCTTATAGTTACTTTGATAATTAAAGCAGTATATGCTTACTGCAAAAAAATTTAGAAAATACAAAAGAGTGCAAATTAGAAAGTAAAGACTATCCATAATTCTACCTCTCAGAGATAACTACTAATACTGTTGGTGTCTTCCCTTAGAGACTATTTTCTTTGCATATCTGAATACATATAGATTTTTATAAACTTAAAATGAGACCTTACTGCATACACACTTTGGTAAACTATTCATAGAACAGTGAGTTATGGAAGTCTTTTCATGTCAATTTTTTTCTTTTTAATAAAAATTGTATATATTTAAGGTATGCAATGAGATGTTTTGATATAGTGAAATGATTATGACAGTGAAGCAAATTAACATATCCATTCCTTTACATCATTACCTTTTTTTTGGTGAAAGCACTTGAAATCTGCTCTCCCAGCAAATTTCCTGTAGGCATTACAGTATTATTAACTATATCCATCTTGCTACATGTCAATTTGAACATAGCTCTAGATCAGCATAGTCTAATATAGTATGAGAAAAAGAATGTATGAAAAATGAATGCAAAACATCTCATTAATTATGTTTTATATTGATTGTATATTGAAATGGTAATATTTCTGGGATGTATCGGTTAAGCAAAATATTCTCTTAGAATTAATTTGTTTCATTTTCCTTTTAAAAGTAGCTCCTAGGAAAAATTTAAATTTAATCATCTGGACAGTGCCGGTCTAGATCAACATTTTTGATGTCTTGCTTGATGGGAAATTTTCCTACTCAAAAAAAAATCCACAGACACAGAGGGAAGAAAGGCTCTTGTTCAGTTGAGAAGTAATAGGTTATTGGAGTAACTTTATTGGATTGAGAAACAACCTTAGTTCTTGAGAAAGATACTTAGATCTTATTGACTTACTGACCGTTGTATAGCTGTTCTATTGCTGAATGTAGAAGCAACTTGTGGCTGCAGACAACAATGAATTCCCCTCATTAAAGGGAGTCTTATGTAGGAAGGGACCTAACTGGGATGGAGAAAGCAAACAAGTTTGAGTGGATTGGACTCATTGTGAAACTGCCAAGTGCACCCTGTGGGCACTTCAATGACAAATTGAGATGTGAGAAGATAGTCCTCTGGTGCAACTTCAGTTTAGACAGGTCTGAGCACACGTAAAAACTCTTGGGTTCTTGTTTCAGTAGGCAGAAACTGTTTCTCTTGATGTACTCCTTTAGGATGGAGTTGACAAATTGTTATACTGCCCAGGGAAACCTGAGGCTTCAGCCCGCCTTGCTTTGTCCAGCTGACCAGAGATTCAGCATGCCGCTTTGTGAGTGGGTTTTATTACCTCAAATTGTCACATTTGCTGCTTGGTACCTCCTTTTTTGCAACAGCCTCATCATGTCTGATGGAGTCCTTTCATAAAAGCCCTCTCTGCAGGCAGAGTTTTCCTGAGAGTATTTAAGGAATGTGTCTAAGGGGGTAATTGATTTGTGCAAAGTATGTGCCTATGGAGCTTTGGGTTTGTTCCTTACTTTAAAATGGGTTTTAATAGAGATGATTGCCTGGCCATGGGAAGCAGTGTTAAGGATCTGTGGGTGGCTAATTGCTTCATCTTAATTAGAATTTGAGGTGCTTTCTCATGTCACAGAAAAGGATTTAAGATCTTTTCTCTTCTGGAACTGTTTCAGCCTTAACTGCATGTATTTCCTAAGCAGCGCTTACTTACAGCATCTTTATAAGCCTTGGGGCTCACAAAATAAACAACCAGATGCACCGTGCTTAGGACGTGATTTGATTTCCTTCTCTTAGAGGGAGGGAGAGATGAGCCACTTTGTCAATCGAAATACCTTGTTATATCCATTACGGAAAATTTGCTAAGAGTGGTCATTTAGGAAATGGGTCCCATTTTATGGACTCGCAAAAGGCTTTCAAATATGAGATTTCCCTGCAACTTCTTACCTGGAAGAAAATAGTTCTGGTGGCATGGTGGCATATAGTAAGGATAAGCAGTTGGGTTTTGTTTGTTTGTTTGTTTGTTTTTCCCAAAATGATTCATCTATGGAAAGCACAATTTCTTGGGTATAGTCTCCAGGGAAAACTTCAATTATTACCGCCTCTTTTCTCTTCCCACCTTCTGAGAGTCAGGTGATCTCTCTCTCTTTCTTTTTTTCTCTCTGTCGCTTTCTCTCTCTGTCTCTCTTCTCTTTCTCTTCTCTCTTATCTCTCTCCCTTCTTCTTCTTCTTCTCTCTTCTCTCTCTCTCTCTTTTTTTTGAGACAGAGTCTCACTCTGTTGCCCAGGCTGCAGTGCAATGGTATGATAGGCTCACTGCAACCTCTGCCTCTTGGGTTCAAGTGATTCTCCTGCCTTAGCCTCCCAAGTAGCTGGGCTTATAGGCCCATGCCGTAACACCTGGCTAATTTTTGTATTTTTAGTAGAGATGGGGTTTCACCATGTTGGCCAGACTGGTCTCGAACTCTTGACCTCAGGTGATCCACCTTCCTCGGCCTCCCAAAGTGCTGGAATTACAGGTGTGAGCCACCACGCCCAGCCCACTTCTTTTTTTAAAAAGGTAAAATACGTGGGTAGTCACCTCTGCATTATGCAGCCAAGGATGATGTTTAGTTAAGTCTATTTAACACCATTTCCTTGAACACTTATTATTTGCCAGACACTGTACAAAATACTCTACACACAATTTTTTCTGCTCATGACAACGGTATATGTTAGCGATTATTATCTCCATTTTATAAGGAAATGGAAGCTCACAGAAGTTAACTCACTTTCCCAAGAACCTGGGACTGGTAGACAGGAGAGACAGGATTCAGATCCAGATCTCTCTCCTGTGGTAGCGTGGTCTAATGACACAGACCCCAACAGTCTCTCCACACTTAGGCACTGAAAATTCACTTCATAGATTTTAGCAAGCCAGCAGTTTCTGCAGTGGAAACTTTTTCTTTGCTTGTTTGTTGTTGTTGTCATTTTAAGAACAAGATTATGGTACAGACTCAGGGGACTGGGTGCTTAGGAAACCAGCCATTTTTCAGCAACCTGTCACAGTTTCAGCTGTTCCACTTTCCATGTGACACACATCTGCCAAATTGTGCTAACAAGTAAGTTACTGCACTTGGTGTAATGCGTTGGTAATTATCCTTGTAAATTTATACTCCAAACAGTGTTTGTTCAGGACAACTGCTGATGTCTTACTAGATTTACAGGGTTCTCTTTTACCTTTTTTTTGCCTGTGTATACACATGTATACACTGACCTCCTTCCTGTACAGCTCATGGGATTAGACTGACATCAGATTTGGGATCTCTAGGAATGGGGAGCATTGACCACAGCCTGTACTTACATCAAACGCTCAGTGCTGTCTCCCTCCCTGACTACCAGGTCACTCTGGTAGTCAGGCCTAGCACTCCTTAAGGGGTAAAAAGAGACAAAAAGCCAGTGGGTTTTTGGAGTGCTGGGTATGTTAATGATTTTCTTCTCTTTGCACTGAATTTTATATGCCTTAGTAATAGTGTTTCTTGGCTATCTTGTTGCAGTGTATTAGCCATAATATAGATTATCCGAGCTTTCTATTACCTCCCCTGTCTGATCTGAACATCTCATTACAACTTGGCTAATTCCCCAGAGGATGACATGCAGCAGGAAAACTAAATATTTTCAAGCTAGCCTACCTTTTTTCAGTTCTGAGAAGAAATTGCTTTAAGAAGGGTGAAAACTGTTGACTAAAATGAGCTTTTGTGATTAGCTGTGGATTTAGGTGATCTACAGTGTCTCCAAGTGCCTGGTTTTATGTCTAATTTCCATTCTGGGGTCTTGGCCTGGATTGGGGCAGGCCAGCTTCTGCCCTGGTTTCCCTGCCTTCCCTGTGTAGATCTATGGTAGTCCCTGGCAGGGGCTGACTATAAGGTATGGTGAGTGGACTCATGTTCTCTAATATAGTCTCTCCTGTGCATTGGTAATACCAAGAGAAGCACAAGGCCATGCCAGCCCTCTGTGTGACGTCTAGCAGAGAATGTCCCCCATTCAACAGGCACATACTGAGTGTCTCCCCATGCGCCAACAGATGCCAGGCTAAGTGCTAAGGATTTGGTGACTTAACACCATAGTTGGTGCTCTTAAGGAGCTGACAGTATGGGTGGTGGAGGTGGATAGGAAGGACAGAGACAGACCCTGTCAGCCCAGCAGCCAGCAACGAAGACCTAGAGATGGAGTCTTCACTGTGGCTGATCCTTTCCCTGGCCTTTGAGGAATCCCTCAAAGGAAGAAGAATTGTCAGGGGAAGAGTCCTTTTATGTGGGAGGTCTCAAGTTAGGGACCTGATCCTGTTTGGGGGAGCTCTCCAGGGATAATTTGATGGCAAAGAGATAGTTTCCATTTTCTAAATATGGGCTTTGCACTTTTCTGATTCTCTTCTCATAATGTCATTGCTGTCATCCTGTCATTTTAAGTCAGCCACATCTATCTCCTTTCTGTCTGCTAATGGTAGGGGGTCTAGACAATGTACTCCTACTCCAGACACTCTCCACCCCCAAGCCTAATATTTGGTCTCCTACCTCAGCACTGCACAACACCTGTCTCTTTGAATTCCTTTCTCTTCCCAGTTCTCCTCCCACTTCAGGTCCTTAAAACTCTAGCTGAGTGTCAGCTAAAGGGACTCTCGTGAGCATTTCCTTGGTCCAGTTCTCCTCTCTGCTTCTAGTTCTACTGGGCCAGATACCATCCGGATCAATGCTTTAGGTAACCTCTCCCTCAGGCCTGGAAACTCCCAGACAGCAACTGGGCCCACCCTAGTGTTTCCTTCTATTGCCTTCTTGCCTGGGAGGAAGAGACACTACTTACGTGCACTGCTGAACACTTGA